CCACTTGGATGGATTTTGTGTGTTTTCGCCAGGTAGCATGTGACATGACAAAAATTTTATCCACGTCATTACTTTTTTAAATTTTGCTCTCCACGTCATCAAAAAAAATATAAAAAATGCCACATAAGCAAGGTTAACGGCCCAAATTAACAGAAGGACTAACGGAGTGCATTTCATATAGTTGAGGGATCAAAAAAGTGCAAAAAATTGTTGAGGGACCAAAAATGTTCATTTCTCAAAGTTAAGGGACCAAATTAAGCATTTAACCTTTTAACTTTGCAGCTGGCTATGATAATGCATTTAATGCACAACGGTTGAGTTATTTGAAAATTATTTAATGTTTTTATAGTTGAAATTCCAAAGCCAGCTTTATATTTTGTAGCCGGCTGTGTAAGAAAATAGAATGTGCAGGAAACCCGCAAAACCAACTATAAGAATCTAAGCTGGCTCTAGGAGAAAATGGAATGTATAAGAAACCTGAAAAGCTGACCGTAGGATTTTAAGCCGGCTATGCAAAGCTGACTCCAAACTTTAAGTTGATTGTACTGACAAATTTGCAACTCGAAATTATGCGACCTATAGAGCATTTAATGACCCCAACGGTTAATAACGACTATTTTTTACCATGGGGTTATAAATATAGTTGATAGCAAAACTGGAATAAGTTTGAAGAACATTGTTTTGAATATCTTTATCTACCATCTTATGCTTTAACTTGAGTTTTTTATTTTTGAGAGATCTTTACTTGCAATCTTCTTCTTATTCTGCTTGTGTGTTATCTTGGGAGTATGATTATTCTTTTAAGAATGATTTGTATAGATGATTCTTGGGGTTTATCTTATAATGGGGTGAGATTTGAGAAAAATACCTTTTTTCTTCTTGTAAAATGATAGAATGTCTCTTTTAAGCCACCTTTGATTTTGTCAATGGAGAGTGTAGAAAAAATCATTGGTAAGTGAAACTAATATAGAAGATTAGGTTCCAAGTTGTTAGACTGAATCTTTATAAAATTATTGTGCAAGCTCTTTTTTTCCTTACTCTTTCTTCGATTTTTATTTGATAGTTATAAAGAAGCAAAAATTTTTCTACTCCAATTCATCATTTCTTGAAGTACATTGTGTTGTGAACCAACACGATATGCTCCACAACAACTTGCTCATTGATCCTCGATTCAAATAATAACATCTACAAAATTACTAAATTTGGGGTTACATTTCTTAATAGTGAATTGATCTTTTTATTTTTCCTTTTTTGGAATGGGCAAAAAGGTATAAAACCAAAATAACCTGCAATGGCTACAAGATACCCTTTCCTCCACTAACTTCTTTTTAATCTGCTCAACAACATTGCAAGATATCCAGGTTATGCTTCGTGAAGGCAACAGAAGATGGACAAGTGGCTCTACGTAAGCGTTTAAAAAAAAAACAGAATAAAAAAAAAGAAGCAATCATTGGAGAAGTTAATTCGGGAGAAAATGAGAAAATTAAATGGGCAAATTCATGTTGGTATTTAAGTGTTCCGTATATGCTCGGCCAACTGAAGGACCGAAAGAAAAATAATATACTACAATGCATGGAATCCTCGGCTTGCCCTCTATCAGCAGATAAAAAAATGCCTCATACTACAAAAAAGGGAAAAGAATATTACATGACAATATCACACACTGGAACCACAGAAATGACGTATCTTCAACCCATCAGATGAATTAACACACAAAAATGAAGGCAGCTAAGCCACTGAAACACCATTACAGGAACTGGGTTGTCCCTTCTCTCATCTACAGCTAATGGCCATAGCAATCAGCCATAAACTAATAACTTCCCATTGGTGGCATGCCAAAAGCTGGCATTGGTGGCATCCCCATTCCTGGCATTGGTGGTGGTGCAAACCCTCCTCCCATTGGTGATGGTCCCATACCTGGCATTGGTGGTGCTGGCAAAGCAAGTGGTAGCAACTGCGCATACATGTTCTGCATTACAGTATTTTAAAGAGTTGAGTATCTTTAAACTCATAAAATAGTGTTAGGTTCATCAGAACCTGGGACAGTAGACAACAGAGCAGCAGATTCAAACTGATTACCTGCTGTGCAATCACTTCCTTCTCTTCCTGCTCTTTAGCCTTGACTTCCTTTTGAGCTTCAATCTTGTCCTTCACAAGTTCGTCAACTTTGCCAGTGTATTCACGGATAAACTGCAAGAATAGAAGTGGAAGACAATTTCAATACAAAGTTTCAGTTTCTCAAAGAGGACTACGACTGAGGATAAATGTTGGTCCCACAGAAGATGATTCCTAGTACAACCCTAAGTCAGGCAAACAGAACCATGGAACCAAAATTCTTGGTAAACAGAGAAGAAAACTGGACAGTTTAAACAAAGCTTTTCATAACCATGCGAAAGTAAAAATGTTAGCTATTGTACCTTGACAAGATATATGAACCTGAAGGAAGGAAAGATTTACCTGCAACAGATATGGAAATGCAAAGTCTATCATATTGTTAATCCAGGCTAGTTCAAGAGCAACGTCTGGTCGAATTAAGTCATAACAAACGAAGAGGCATGATGCAAAGCATTCCTTCTTTCCCTGCAAAAAATGCATCAATTCCAAGGTTAACAGTATAACATGCAGCAGCACACAGAAAAGGGGTTTAACAATAAAACCGTGCCCTATAATTTTACTCTTACCATCTTCAAAACCACAACATTGTCCTAAAAGTGTGTGTGTGTGTGAGTGAGAGAGAGAGAGAGAGAGAGAAAGTTATGTGATCTCATACTTTTTTCTTTGGCCAAATGTGATCTCTTACTTTTAGTCCAAGTTAACTGCTAGCATCTTGTAGTCACCTCAGGCTTCTAATGTAAAGCTTGATTTTAATTCTTACTTCTTAGGCTACATTTTACTAATATTAATTCCCAGGAAATTTTGAACACCAGTAACCAGACAGCAAACTTGGTTCTGACAGCCTTAAACTATCAGAGAACAGAAAATAATTAGGTTAATCATACCCCGCAAGATAACCACATTATCATACATGCTAAGGTGTAAATAAAGATAAAAGCTACAAACTAAGTGGGGCACCTGTTCAATGAAATAAACAAGCAACTCCTCAGCAAGTTCACGGTCCCCAGACTGTGAGGCTGTCTCCATTGCATCTTTGTAAAGGTTGTCTTTCTTTGACAATGCAATGGATTGCTTCCATCTGCCTGCTTTTTTGTAGATATATGCAGCAACACGTCTCATTTCCAGAAGCTCATGTTTCTCAATCTACATGAACCATTTGAAAACATAGTTAAAATACCAAGCTAAGTTAAACAGAAAATAAATAAAAATGTTAAATAACTGTAATTCACCTTCTGGGCAAGACCAATCTGATCAAAGTTATCGTGCATATCAATAGACTCTCGCAATCTCTCATAATCCTCTTCCTCTACATAGATTTCGTTCAAAGCCTCATTTACAGCTGATACATTGTTGCTCTGAACAGCTACCATGTATGGCTTCACAAGTCGCAGGTGACCAGCCTGAGCACATACAAGAAATAAATCAATCCAAAAGAATAAGCAGTAAACCCATTCAGATTTAAAAAAGGAAATATTTTGCCATAGTTGCAACCTTCCGCATAATGTCAACAACACGAGCATGGTCCACACGGAGGGCAAGCACATTGAGCATATCATTTATGAGATCAGGATGTTCTTGCAAGTAGAAGTGAACAGCCTTATAATATAGCTCAACATTAGCAACTTTGACTGCAACATCTTTGAACTGCATGTGATCCCATGCTTCGGGAGAGTGATTCATGATGGTTGTTGCAGCATTATCAAACTCATCATATTGGATGTACAAATAGGTAAGTTCTTTCCAATGCTGTTGCTCATCACAAGCTCTAATAAGCTTGGGAATATTCAGACGAGTTGAAAACAATTTAATGTGCTCCATCAACTTCTCTGGACGATATCTAGCATACAAAACTCCCAGTTCAGTAAAGATGCCCATATGTGCTCGTTCCAATCCTAAGCCACTCTCCATGAGAGAGATCAACTCATTGAAGCATCCTCTGTTCTGATAATATTCACTGACCTCT